TTCTATATTGAGAAAAATTGGAAGCATTTACTTTCAGAACTTGAACAAGTTAGGGATGTCCTCTCTCACCACTTCTATTCAACATAGTCCTTGAAACTCTAGCCAGAGCAATTAGACAGATGAAAGAAATTAGAGGAATATAAATAGAAAAGAAGAACTCAAACTATCACTATTTGTGGATGACATGATTCTATACTTAGAGGATCCAAAAAACTCTGCCAGGGAACTTCTAGAATTAATAAATGAATTCAGCAAAGTAGCAGGATATAAAATCAATACCCATAAATCAAATGCATTTCTATATGTCAGTGATGAATCCTCTAGAAGAGAAATTAGGAAAACTACTGCATTCACAATAGTCTCAAGACAACAACAAGAACAACATCAACAACAACAAAACTTAGGAATCAACTTAACAAAAGAGGTGAAAGTCCTCTACAATGAAAACTACAGAAAACTAAAAAAAGAAATTAAAGAACACTTTAGAAGATGGAAAGATCTCACATGCTCTTGAATAGGCAAAATTAATATTGTCAAAATGGCCATACTACCCAAAGTGCTATACAGATTTAATGCGATTCCAATTAAAATTCCAATGTCGTTCCTTATAGAAATAGAAAAAGCAATCATGAAATTCATTTGGAAAAATAAGAGACCCAGAATAGCTGAAGCAATCCTTAACAAGAAGAGTTAAGCAGGAGACATCACAATACCAGACCTTAAACTACACTACTAAGTTATAGTAACAAAAATGGCATGGTATTGGCATCAAAATAGATATGTAGGCCAATGGTACAGAATAGAAGACACAGAAACCCAAATAAATACAGTTATCTTATATTAGACAAAGGTGCTGAAAACATACATTGGAAAAAGATAGTCTCTTCAACATATGGTGCTGGTAAAACTGGAAATCCATATGCAGCAAAATGAAACTAAAGCCCTATCTCTGACCTTGCACAAAACTCAACTCAAAGTGGATCAAGGACCTAGGAGTTAGACCAGAGACCTTGTGCCTAACAGAGGAAAAAATAGGCCCAAATCTTCCTCATGTCATATTAGGCCCTGAATTCCTTCACAAGACTCTTAAAGGGCAAGAAATAAAATCAAGAACTAATAAATTGTATGGATTCAAACTAAAAAGCTACTTCTCAGCAAAAGTAACAATCAATGAGGTGAACAGAGAGCCTACATTTTGGGAGCAAACTTTTGCCACACACATGTCAGATACAGCACTAATTTCCAGGATATATAAAGAACTCAAAAACCTTAACACCAAAAAACCCTCCCAAAACAAACAAACAAACAAAACCCCCAATCAATAAATGGGCTAAGGAGTAAGCAGACACTTCTCAGAAGAAGCTAAACAATTGATCAACAAATATATGAAAAAATGTTCAACATCTAGAATTTAGGAAAATGCAAATACAAATTACTCTTGAGATTTCATGTCACACCAGTCAGAATGGCAGTTATCAAGAATATAGTCAACAAGAAATGTTGGCGAGCATGTAGGGGAAAAGGCACACTCATACATTGCTGGTGGGACTCAAATTGGTGCAACCAATCTGGAAAGCAGTATGGAGATTCATTAAAAAACTTGGAATGGAACCACTATTTGATCCAGCTACTCACTTTGTCTATAACCAAAGGACTTAAAATCAGCATACAGTAATGCAGCCACATCAATGTTTATAGCAGCTCAATTCACACTAGCTAACCTGTAGAACCAACCTAGATGCCCTTCAGTAGATGAATGGATAAAGAAACTGTGGTACATATACACAATGGGATATTACTCAGCATTAAAAAAGAATAAAATTATGGCATTTGCAGGTAAATGGATGGAGCTGGAGAATATAATGCTGAGTGAAGTAAGCTAATCAAAAAACACCAAAGGCCAAATGTTCTCTCTGAAGAGTGGGTTCTGATCCATAATGGGGGTGGGCATGGGAAAAATGGACAAACTTTGATTGGACAAAGAGGATGGAGGACAGGGGAGGGGCTGTGGGGACAGGAAGGTTGGTGGAATGAGTTGGACATCATTACCATAGGTACTTGTATGACTGTACTTATAGTGCGATACTACCTACATGTGTACAACCAGCGAAATGAAAAGTTGTGCTGCAACTGTGTACAATGAATCAAAATGCATTCTGCTGTCATATATACCTAATTAAAATAAATAAATAAATTTAAAAATTTATGTGTGGAGCAAGGTGCACTGACTTTTTGTTGAGTTTAGTTCAGTAGCAGAGTCTCTAGTGCCCTGTATGTTAGCAGCACCTAGTCTCTTGGCACCCTGTATGTTCCCTCCCGCTCACAGAATAGGGAAAAACAAACAACAGTAACAACTGTTGTAATCAATACACAGCATTAATGTAAATAAACAGTTCCTACTATGGCAATTTCAACATTAATTACCACCAAAACCCACGAATGGTGGGATCAGCAATTGTCAACAGTAAAAACAATAACCACGAACTAGATCTGGCTTTAATGCAAACAGCAGGTGTCAACTATGTCATCTACAGCAGTAAGGATTGCATCAGCATTAATGGTGAGGGCAGGAGTTATGTAAGTTAGTTTATTCTGAAAGATGGTAAAAATACAGTTATTAGGAGAAAAATACAGTTATTAGGAAGGTAGAAGAGAATTTACAATCTCAAAAAGTGAATAGAGAGAATGCAGAAGAGCTGTAGCAAGTGATGTTTATACAGAAGGAGGGGCAAAAATAGAAGAAGCAATGTAATGGGGGAGAGAAAGAGAGAACAATAGAATTTGGCCATTAGCATGAGAAGAGAGAAAAAAATAAAAAAAATAAACAAATGAAAATAATACAAAACAAACCCCAAATATACAAACCAAAAAGTGCAAATCCTCAAAAGACAACTCAAGAAAAAAATAATTACGTTAAAAAATACTAAAAATGAGAGAAAAAAATAAGTATATGTATATATCTCCCTGAACCAATTAGTACAGCCAGAATTCACACACATGTGGGCACACAAACTCCTCTCACCCCACACGAAGGAAATGTCTCCATTGAGGCGATTAAAATATTTGACCGTAATAGGTGGTTAGTGTCTCTGCCCAACAGTCCTTCTTCCCATATCCTCTTGAGTTATATACTGACAGAGAGTGCAAGGGGTTGGAGTTGCTAACCCCTTCTTGTTTTGGGGTTGCTCTCTGAGCTGCCAGTTTGAGTGGCCTAAAATTGAAGATGTTTGATATAAGACTCAGCTTCCCCTCTCACTAGTATGAGATGGGATGAATTAGGAAGTATTTTCAGTTGGAGTTTTTTCCACTCAGACCAGTTTGGTGCACTCCCCGGGTACCACTTATACAGAGTTCTGTGAGGGGAGTTCTAGCAGGTGGTGTTTAGGTCTAATCATACCTAAGGGGCTTTACTGGGTGGTGTCTGCTTTGGAGAGATTAGATTGACCCACCCATTTCCTGGGGAGTAGCTGATCTCTGATGTGGGTCTGGACCTCAGGATTCTCTTTAGAGTTGCAGACATGGGGCCAGGGAGTCAACCCTCCCCTCCCTGCTGCTCAGGAGTAGACTTCCCCGGACTTAGTCCCTAAATGTATTCACTCCCGTCTGCTCAAACTCCTAGCCCACTTCAGCTGGTCATGTGAGCTGTCAGACTTAAAGGAGAAGAAGGTGGACTCCCCTATGCACTTTCAACTTGATTCCCCCTGGATAGTGTCATCTCCACACAAATTTCACTCACATTTCCTCCAGGTACACCTTAGGCCATCAGGTAGGTGCCTGCTGGGATATTGTGGCAGTATTTGCTCTGATCTTCTCTCTACCACAGCTGCATGAGTGTGATGGCTCCATGATGGCTCCTGCCTCAGCTCTCCATGGTCAGGTGAGATACTAGAATGCTTTTCAAGCACCAGTGCACAGTGCAGCATCTGGATCAGCCAAGTTCAGTCAGCTTTTCTTGTCTCATCTTTTTCCATGCCAAATTTGGGTTTCTCTGCAGTTTTCCTCTCTCTGGTGAATCCGCGCTGCTATTGCCTTCATGTTCAGTGCCAGTGTGGCAGCCAGTTTGGCTTCAATGTATTCTTCTTTGTTCACTGTAACTCAATTTCTGAGTCCCTAAGCCACTTCAAGTATTCAATATTGAATTTTAGTGAAATCCCTCTTTCCCACACCTCACTGAGAGGTTGCACACCTGCTGCTTTGATCTGAGCCAAGGAATGACTTGGAGTGCAGCTTTCCTTTACTCCACTATCTTCTGGTCCTTCTGCCGCCTTTTTTAAAAATCAATATCTAAAATTAGTTGTTTCATATATTTTTTTGGGGGGTTTCTGGTGGTTTAAGGCATCAGGAAAATCTGGACCCTGTTACTCCATCATAGTTGGAAGAGGAAATTTCAGCTTCTTCTTCTGCTTGAAATATCGTTATTGTTTTAATATGCATGTATCAGAAAAGTAGGGCATCTTTATTATTATTTATATTTCCTCTGAAATATCTCTTTATATCTTTTGTTCACTTTTATCTTGGGTTGTAGCCATTTTTTTTTGTAAAATTTTAGAAACTCTATATGAAAGATATTTGCACTTTGTTTCCACATAGATTTTCCCCATTTTGTTATTTTTTTATGACATCTTTTTTGCCAGGAAAAAAATACTTTTTAAAATGAATCATACTTGTTATCATTCTGGACCTGAAATGTCCTCCAGAGTCTCATGTGTTCATAGGTGGGGCGTTTCAGAATAGTTGGATCATGAGTGTTCTGACTCCATCAGTGGATTAATCCATTGATGGCTTAATGGACTACTGAGAGATGGATATTTTTGGAGGAAGTAGATCTCTGGGGATGTGCCCTAGAAGAGTTTATCTTCTTTCTGTACCTCCTCCTCTGCTTCATGGTGGCCATGACCTGAGTAGCTTTCCTCTACAATGAGCAATGGAGCTGCTGACCATAGACGGAAACTTCTGAAACCATGAGCCAAAATAAATCTTTTATCCTTTTTCATTGACAGGTATTTTGGTCACAATGATGGAAAGTTGACTAACACACTTATTTATGGCCTCTGAAAGAATACTTTGCCAACTGTTCTCTACTTTCAGGTAATGAATAACTTCATCTTATGCTTCATTCCCCCCCCCCCCAAACTTATAAGATTTCAATTTTTTTTACATTTGGGTACCTTTAAATTTATACTGTTTAAGTGTGAGAATGAATCTAAATCTTTTTCTTTATAAAGCTATCTGGTTATACCATCAGCATCATTCCCCCCCCCACACTGATTTATCAAATATTAAATTTCCATTTGTTCTTGGATTTGTACCTGAATTTTATATTCTGTTCTAGTGATACACCATTCTATTCATGTATTAAAACCCCATTTTAATTATAAAAGCTTTATAATGTTTTCATATAAGTTAGGCATGAACTTTAAAATCAGTTTGTCTTCTGACAGGAAAAAAATCCTCCAAGCTTTGATGCTATATCTATTGAGATGATGTTACATTTACAAACTAACTCAGAGAGAATTGATGTATTTTGGTGTTGAGTTGTACAAAAGAACATGATATATTTTCTGATTTGTTAGATCTGTGTTTGTGTCTTTAGTCATGTTTATGCTTTTACTCATATAGGTTTTGTACCTTTCTTGTTAGATTTTTGCCTAAGAATTTAAATTTTCTATTGAGATGAGATGTAATGTGAGTTTTTTTTGTTACCAGAACAAAATACCTGAGGTAATCAATTTTAAAGTAGGAAAAGGTTATTTTGACTCATAAGTTGAAGGTTTCAGTCCATGGACAGTTGGCCATATTGTTTTTGGGCATTTTGTAAGACAGTGCAGCACGGCAGAAGCCTTTGACGGAGGAAGCCTCTTACCTTATGGTGGCTCAGAAGCAAAGATGAAGAGGGGGACAGGGTCACTGTGACCAGTATTCCCCTTACAGGGCAAGCCTCCAGTGACCTAGCTTCTTCCCACTAAACTCCACCTCCTAATAGTTCCACCACTTTTCAATAATGCCATGGGTTTGGGGCTAAGTGTTCAACACATGGGCTTTAGGGGAGGCTCAAGATCCCATCTATGGCAGACAATATTCTAGAAGGTTAGAGTATACAAAAAGAAAAAAACCGGTTAGAGTATACTCTGGTATATAAAGTATACAAACAATATCAACAGTTGATTTCTGATTTTATTACTGAAATGTAGCTGGTATAATTTTTAGTATTTTTCACTAATTATTTTGAGATTCCAGATATAGAATAATATAATCTGCATATACTGATAGTTTTGTGTCTTCCTTTATGATTTTTGCTTTGCCTCTTTTTTCTCCTCTTGCTTTTGCTTCTTTTCTTTACAATATAAAGTAATAGAAAATTATAATGGACATCTTGTCTAGTGTAGGTTTTAATGGGAGTATATATGATATTTTGTGTTAAGAATTATTTTCACCTTTATTATAAGAATCTGTCTATCACTATTTCATTGAATATTTAAAATAACAAATGGAAATTGAATTTGGCCAAATGCCTTTTTATATATTCTTGGTTCCATCTCCTCCCATCCTTCCTATTCTCTAAAGTATCCATTTTCTTTCTTGTACCTTCAATTTTCCCTTTGATACTAACTCCTTACTTCATACCACAAACATAATCATGCCTTAATTATCCTAAAAATGTACTTCAATTTTCTTTCTTCTTTTAGTGTAAAATTTAAAAATGTATTGTATACTTAGGCTTTCACTTCCTGTCTATAGCCAAGGGTGGATGTTCACTTATAAATAAATAAGACATATCATTCATTGCCCTTCTCTCTTCATATACAGTGCCACATTGCAACTCCTCTGCAGATGTACCTGATCTGTAAGTCTTTCCTATGCATTTTAGAACTTACTGTCTTATTGTCAGTTCTCTGGACTAGAGGGAGTTTCCCTGGGCCTACTTGTTGATTCCTGTCCTTGAATTTGAGGCATTTGCCACCAGGTGGCAGTAGCAGAAGGAGTCATCCTATTTGAATTGACAATGAAGATGCTTAGACCTGTACTGATCCAGCACTATCTTCTATTTTTTTAAAAATGAGAGAATGTGTGTGTGTGTGTGTGTGTGTGTGTGTAATATAGATAATATATGTATATATATTATACACAAATATATACAGTGTATATATATTTATTATATATTTGTTTAAAAAGTCTAGGAAGCTCTAAGATATGATTTAATAAATATTGTGTTAGAAACTTAAGAATAACTAGAAAAAGGAAAATAAAACAACTTGATATTTTTCATTCTTTATTTACAAGTTTAATTAGAATCACAGAGTATGGGTGCATTTAATGTTGAATGAAAATGATTGTTTTGTGTAGAGAGTTTCTGCCTTCTTGAAAACAAGAAAATGTGTGCCCCAGTTTGGGCCTGTAAGAAGAAAAGTGTCACTATGGTTATGGTATGATCATTCCTGTGCTGACTGCAAAGGGTGCAACACTGTTCCTCAGAATCATTAGTAAAGTAAACATTTATTTTTTCCTCCTGTGACCATATGAACAGACTTTAGAATCTATTAAGGCAGTATCTGCAGTTATTTAAGAAAACAGTCACCTCAGTAGATTTTAATAATTCTATTTAATTTAGTTGAGGGGAAGAAGGGCTTTCTCATGTGGACAATGTTAAAATCCTGCCCAATTCCAAGCCCACAATTTAATACTGGATTATGGCCATCTTTGCAGAAAGCCTGCATAGGACCAGTCTCGGTGGTGTACGCCTGTTATTCCAGTGGCTCACAAGGCTGAGGCAGGAGGATCACAAGTTTAAAGCTAGTCTCAGCAATTTAGAGACCCTGAGCAACTTGTTGGGGCCTCGTGGCTCAGTGGTAAAGTGCTCCTTGGTTCAATACCCAGTTTCTTCCACCCCCACCCCCACAAAAAAAGCATGCAGAGGGATTTTCTTTTAACATCAATCCTGGACCCTAGGATCCAGTGGGGGAAGGAGACAGAGTAGGCACTTCCTTTCATTGCTTTTGGTGTTGAAGTGAAAGTGAGCACAGAAATAAAATTGCTACATGTGTAAAGTCAAAGGCCATATTTCTTACCTTCTGTAGGACCTTTAGGAGAGTATCTATTGAAGCCTTCTCTGGTTTCTACTTAGTCTTTTATATATTTGCCTGTAAAAGTAATTTAGGCTATTAGTTCTCTGGCTGTTCTTGAAGTGGGACACACTGTTTTTTTTTTTTTTTTTTTGTCTCAAAACTGTACTTGCACTTCTAGAAGTAGAGCCAAACTCTGAGCAGTAAAGAGAAATAGCTTAGCTATGGGGGAATTAATCTTTTTAATTAAAATATTTCTAGGAACTAATTAAGAAACCTTAGCTGTGTCTTAAGATTTCTTAATTACTTCTTGGGAATTTTAAAATTTGTTCTTTAATTAGTTATATGTGACAGTAGAATATATGTTGACATATATTTTAGCCAGCTTTTTCACTGCTGTAACTAAAGGATCTGACTAGCACAATGGAAGGTGAGAAAAAGTTTATTTGAGGGCTCACGGTTTCAGAGATCTTAGTCCAGAGAAGGCCCACTCTCTTCCTCAGGGCTTGAGGTGAGGCATAACATCATGGCGAAGTGTGAGGCAGAGAGAAGCAGCTCACATCATAGTGGTCAAGAAACAGAAAGAGAGAGAGACTCCAGCGCCAGATACAAAATATATATCCCATAGCCACGCTCCCAATTAACCACCTTCTCCAGCCACACCCCATCTGCCTCTAGTTACCATTCAGTTAATCCCATCAGGGATTAATTCACTGATTGGATTAAAACTTTTACAGTCAAATAATCTCTCTGAACCTTCTTGCATTGTCTCACACATGAGCTTTTGGGGAACACCTCACATCCAAACCACAGCATATTATACATATATGGAGTATAACTTCCCATTCCTCTGATTGTACATGGTGTGAATTATATTGGTCATGTATTCATATATGTATATAGGAAATTAATGTCTGATTCATTCTATATATCTTTCCTATTTCCATTACCAACCCTTCTATTCTTTCCTCACCTCCCCTTATTGTATGTTAGCATCTGCATATCAGAGAGAACATTTGGCTTTTGAGGTTTTGGAGATTGGCTTATTTCACTTAATATGACATTCTCCAATTCTATCCATTTACTGGCAAATGCCATAATTTCATTCTCCTTTATGGCAGACTAATATTCCATTGTGTATATATACCACATTTAAAAAATCTGTTCATCTGTTCAAGGGCACCTAGGTTGGTTCCATAGCTTAGCTATTATGACTTTACCTGCTATAAATATTGATGTGGCTGTCACTGTAACATGTTGATTTTTAAGTCTTTTTAAGTGATTTTAAGTCTAAACTGAGGAGTAGAATAACTGAGTCAAATCATGGTTCTATTCCAGGCTTTCTGAGGAATCTGCATACTGCTTTCCAGAGTGTTTGAAACAATTTGCGTCCCACCAGCAATGTATGAGTGTACCTTTCCACCCACATTCTCGAGAACATTTTTTGTTATTTGTATTCTTGATAATTGGAGATGAAATCTGAGTGTTGTTTTAATTTTCATTTCTCTAATTGATAGAGATGATGAACATTTTTCTCATATATTTGTTGACTGATCATATTTCTTCTTCTGTGAAGTATCTGTTCAGTTCCTTTGCCCATGTATTGATTGGGTTATTTTATTTTTTTGGTGTTAAGTTTTTTGAGTTCTTTATATATCCTGGAGATTAATGCTTGATCTGAGGTGCAGGAGGCAAAGATTTTCTCCCATTATATAGGCTCTCTTTTCCCATTGTTGATTGTTTCCTTTGTGAAGAAGCTTTTTAGTTTGATACCATCCCACTTACTGATTCCTGATTTTACTTTTTTCACTTTAGGAGTCTTGTTGAAGAATTCAGTTCCTAAGCTGACATGATGGTGATTTGGGCCTCCTTTTCCTTCTAGTAGGTGCAGGGTCTCTGGTCTAATGCCTAGGTCCTTGATCCACTTTGAATAGAAATGGTGAAAGAGGGCATCCTTGTGTTTCTCCGTTTTTAGTGGGAATGCTTTCAATTTTTCTCCATTTAGAATGATGTTGGCCTTGGGTTTAGCATATATAGCTTTTATGATGTTGAGGTATGTCCTACTATCTCTACTTTTTATAGTGTTTTGAACATGAAGGGGTGCTATATTTTGTCAAATGCTTTTTTTGCATCTATTGAGATGATCATATGATTCTTGTCTTTAGATCTATTGATGTGATGAATTATGTTTATTGATTTCTGTATGTTGAGCCTACTTTGCATCCCTGGGATGAACCCCACTTGATCATGTTGCACTACCTTTTTCTAGGCAATGTACCAATATTTTATTAAGAATTTTTGCAGCTATTCCCACATGATGGAGATTAGGGCCTATTTTTTCTTCTATTAGATGCAGGATCTCTAATTTTATTCTTAAGTCCTTGATACATTTTGAGTTGATTTTGTGCATGGTATGAGATAGGGGTCTAATTTCACTTTGTTGCATATGGATTTCCAAGCACCATTTTGGATGAATGGATAAAAAAAATGTGGCATTTATACACAATGGAGTATTACTCTGCATTAAAAAATGACAAAATCATAGAATTTACAGGGAAATGGATGGCATTAGAGCAGATTATGCTAAGTGAAGCTAGCCAATCCCTAAAAAACAAATGCCAAATGTCTTCTTTGATATAAGGAGAGTAACTAAGAACAGAGTAGGGTCGAAGAGCATGAGAAGAAGATTAACATTAAACAGGGATGAGAGGTGGGAGGGAAAGGGAGAGAGAAGGGAAAATGCATGGAAATGGAAGGAGACCCTCAGAGTTATACAAAAGTACATACAAGAGGAAGTGAGGGGAAGGGGAAAAATAATATAAGGGGGACAAACGAATGTCAGTAGAGGGAGCAGAGAGAGAAGAGGGGAGGGGAGGGGAGGGGAGGGGAGGGGAGGGGGGATAGTAGAGGATAGGAAAGGCAGCAGAATACAACAGACACTAGTATGGCAATATGTAAATCAATGGATGTGTAACTGATGTGATTCTGCAATCTGTATATGGGGTAAAAATGGGAGCTCATAACCCACTTGAATCAAATTGTGAAATATGATATATCAAGAACTATGTGATGTTTTGAACAGCCAACAATAAAAAATTAAAAAAAAAAAAAAAGAAGCTATCTTTTTTCCATTGCATGTTTTTGGCACCTTTGTCTAATATAAGATAATTGTAATATAGTGGGTTAGTCTCTGTGTCCTCTATTCTGTACCATTGGTCTACCACTCTGTTTTGGTGCCAATACTATGCTGTTTTTGTTACTATTGCTCTGTAGTATAGTTTAAGGTCTGGTATAGTGATGTCACCTGCTTCACTCTTCCTGCTAAGGATTGCTTTAGCTATTCTGGGTCTCTTATTTTTCCAGATGAATTTCATGATTGCTTTTTCTATTTCTATGAGGAATGTCATTGGGATTTTGATTGGAATTGCATTAAATCTGCTCATCAGGGATATTGATGAAATTTTCTTTCCTTGATGTGTTTTCATCTGATTTTGATAGCAGGGTAATACTAGCTTCATAGAATGAGTTTATAAGGGTTATCTCCTTTTTCTATTTTGTGGAATAATTTGAGGAGGATTGTTGTTAGTTTTTCTTTGAAGTTCTGGTAGAACTCAGCTGGGAATCTATCTGTTCCTGGGCTTTTCTTTGTTGGTTTGAAGTTGTCTCCAATTTCATTGCTTGAAATTTATCTGTTTAAATAGTCTATGTACTCCTGATTTAATTTGGATAGGTCATATGTCTCTAGAAATTTGTCATCATCTTCAAGATTTTCTGTTTTATTGGA